GACTTGGAGTCTACATAAAACGTTTCAGAGACTATAGCCAGTTTTGTATTTACATCTGCCCAAACCCTATGCGCTGACTACAAAGCACTATTGGTCCTTAGCAGTATTCCATCTTAGGTCAGCTCAGTGAGAGATATTGCTTGTGCTGTGATAGTCAGTTTCTGACAGTTGTGTGCTCTCTTGACTAGTGACAATAGGCAAATAAGACAAGGATGAGTTCAGCAAACAACCAAAAAATTAGACTTTACGTTGTGGGTGGGGGAATAAGTGTTAAACAGTCACTGAGAGAAAGAAGAGAATCTGACTTTCTCAAATCAGTTTTCAGATAAGGTAGTGGTGGAGCATCTCACCACTCTGAATGTTTCTTGGCCAAGAAAGATGATAAGACATTCATAATCTTTGTCAGTCACCGCATCCACCTTAGGGAAACTGTTCATAGAGGAAAGTAGCTGGTTGACGTCCTCAATTCTTTGTGACTTCTGAGTCTGGGAGTAGCTTGCAACAGCTATTATTATTATTATTATGGTAATAGTTGGGATATGCTTCAATGACTTTAACCCTAACTGTACTATTACAGGGAAAGATTGGGAGAAGGTCATCGCAAACAGTGACATCTAAAAATTTCTGAGAGTGCGATTGGTGGCATCCTTTTATTTTACAAGTAGCAAAGTGGGATCCAGAAGGATCACAGAGTCTTCTCAAGGTCACACTGAAATAGTTAAATTCCTGATCCCAGGTCTGCTGTGGCTGTGGCTGCACTATCTAAAGCACACTTAAAACCCTGCAGAAGAATCTTTGAGCCTGGCTTATGGGAGACAGTATCATCTATCTTAGAAATCATATTGGCTTCTGCCAGCTGATGAAGGAAATAAAGTTAATGACACCATATCAGTGGGCTGCTGTCATAGGCTCTGTCCACAGACCGCCTGGAGGCGAGCACTGCAGACCCTCTTCTGTAGGAGAAAAAGTCTGTCTTTGCAGGGATGGCATGTGTCCCTGCATAGTAGCTGGTTTTGAATGGGACACGCAATCACATGATTAGTTAATACCTGGTGAAGGGTTGAAGGCAGGGTAGCCTCTGGGGCCAGTTCATCTGGAGCCTTTGTGAAAATGGAGCCACGTCTTTGATAATGGGTTGCTCAAAGGTTGAAGGGAACTTACAAGGGTTGAGTTTAGCCATCTGAGTTGAAAATAGAGTCCCCACACGGGAGAGCCTTCTTATGACTGTGCCGCAGGATGAGAGAGCAGAGTTGACTCTGGAAGTCAGAACCCATGGACTGTAGCTGTTCCACCCTCTCCCTTGCCCCACTTAGCTGTGGCCTTTCATAAGACCATCCCTGAGATAAATTTCCCACATGTCCCTGGTGGGTCCTTACCAATTCCCCAAATATGCAGACGTTATGTGCAAATCTATAATTCCATGTACTGGCCTTGTTCAAACTGCCGGTTGGGAATGAACATATGACATTTCTTTCCCATCTTTCCTAAGCCTCCAGAGGGCAGGTGAGCTGATTGACAGTTTGGCTGTCCCTGATGTAGACTTGCCCCACAGGCTTATTTTTTTAGGAAAAAGTCCTTGGGCCATTTCAGAAATTTCTAGATGCGTTCTGCAGTACACCAAAATACAGTGGGAAGGGCTCGGGGAGAACATAGATGTTAACAGGGAGAAAGATCAAGGTGGTTGTCTGCCCTTCTTGGCAAGCTTGGGAACCTTTCCAAGAGGGCATATCTCAGGAAGATAGTCATTTATTTTTCCACAGTGATAGAGATATTAAACAATATATTTACCATGTTCTTTCTCATCCCAGAATTGACAGAAACATATTCACTTTGAGGTTTTGACCAGCTTTCTTAGCAAGGGACTGACACACAAGGTCTAAAACCTAAGCACAAGGCATCATCTACCGGATGGGAAATGGAAGTGGTACATAAGGAAAAAGTGGTCATCTTCTGGGAAAATCACCCAGGATTTGGTTCATGCCTTTCTGAATTTATCCCTTGCTGAAGCTCAAACTAGATCCCTTTCTATTTCAGTGGGAACATGCTATATATTCTACCAGGGGTTGCTACCTCAAGCAAACTCTACTTTTTCATTATTATGATTAATGCATCAGAGCAATTGATTAAACATTTATTTATTTTTATTGTCATTCAAAACTTGGAAAATCCTGTCCCTTCACACTGTACCCTGGGGTAGTTTGCAGTGTCCTGAGACATTTTCGATTGTCATAACCAGGGAGAAAAATGCTACTGGCACCAGGCAGACTGCTACAATACACAAGGCAGATGTCATGACAAAGAATTACAAAGATCAAAAATGCCAAAAGTGCAGGGGCTGAGAAACATTTTTATAGATCATGTCTGTCTGAGTTATTGAGGGGTCAAGGAACAGTTGGGGTTATCCTAGTCTCATTCTTGCTATAAGCCTCTGTCAGGGATCTGGGGATCAAAGCCATGCTCCCTTTGGTTTAAAGGTGTGTTGAAAAAGGAATGTGTTTCCAGTATTAAACAATTAATCAAAAATTGAATATTAGTTTTAGCCCATGTAGATATAAGGTCCTGACCTTCAAGTGACACAAAATTTATGTTATTGGATCACAGGGTGTCACATATTAAATTAAAAATATTAGGCTGTTTAACGTGAAAGCAGGAACTTCAGCCAAATTGCTTTCACATATTTGTGGGGACATGGCTAATGAACACTGCGTTGGTGCTGTCTCCTAGGACCCCAGCTGCCTTTCCAAGGTCTCCATTCACTTTCTTTGTTGGTAGCACTCACTTCAGCTGTTTTTATTTGTTTTGCTGTTGATGTTGCTGTTTTGCTTGTTGCTCACAAACACGATGCAGCAGCACTTTAGGTAGTACCCTGGTGGCCTCCATGTTTTTCCCGCAATCTCAAACAGGTGAGTGACAAGTCTCACTTTATCTAAGAAGGGCCTGGGCCCTGGGAATACACACTGGCTCATTTCAATTCCAAACCTGTCCCTTGGTGAGAAGGAGTAGTTATTCTCATGCAACCTGCAAGGGAGCTGCTGGCCTCTGTTTACCCTAAATTCTAAGGTTTTTTTTGTATGTCTCACCTAAAATTTAAAAGATGAAAGAATTAGAGATGCAAATGCCATTTTGAACAAGGACATCTTCCTTGGTCAACTCCCTTGTGACCCCCTTTGCTTCATCTCTCTGGGAAATTGCAAAGGGTCTGAACATTAACTCCTGAAATGAGGCATCTGTCCTCTGGCTTCGATAGTGCCGCAGTAGCAGCAGCAGCGTGATCCAGATCTCTCTAGTCATGCCTCTTGTTTCCTCATAAGCACAGTGAGTTCTCGATCATGCCCGCTGCTGCTCACATGTGCCTTCACCCACGTAGAGGAAGGGAGACTCTCTGCTGGGCCACCACCAGTTCACTTGAGGAATTAACACAGCGGAGCCTCACCCTTATCTGAGCGATTACAATGCAGACCTTTTAGACCGAGTCTCCTTTTTGTGAAAGCTCATGTCTGGGAGAGTAAAATCAAGAATTGCATCAAGAAAAAAGGGATGGGGGTGGATGGAGAACAAGACTTTTCTAGCCCTTCCACCTCACCCACCCCACAATGTAGGTAAATCTTACAAGGCCTTGGAATGTTGGACTTAAAAAAAATTTGGCTATTTACATTCTAATCCGTGGTTGGGACAGTGGGATGCTAAAGAATTATTTTAAGAGGTCATTAAAAGCTTTAGCAGTGGGTAACCTGGGAAGGGAGGGGCGTCTTTTCTTAATCATCTCTAGAGGAAAAAGACACAAAGAGAGGTTCAAATTCAGAAACTGTCACTTGGGAGAGAAGGCCTCCTTCGTACCACCAACCAATGGATCAGTCAAACCAGCAACTCTTTGCAGTGTAATAAAATCATGCTTACGTTCTGTTTTATGATCAGAGAAGATCTTATTTGGTGGCCGTTTAGTTTTTAGAACAAGCAGAATGGGTTTTTTCAAATGCCTATTAACTCACCACAGTGGTAAGACATGAGAAGCAGACACGCTAGAATGAGGAAGATTAACGATCTCTGCAGAGCTGGGAAGAGTATTTTTCAATTCGTATAGATGGAATTTATCATCACCACCTCTGAGGATGGCATGATTTGCCCACTTACAAAAGGCCTATCTGTTTCAATACTTCCTAAAGATGTAATTTTTCACTTTTCACTTGGACTAACTCAAGAATGCCAAACCTGTAAGCAGAGAATTAGGAGTCAGTGGGTGGGCGTGAGGAGCCTAGTTATGGCAGCAGGGCTAGGCATCCATTCATAAATAAGAACTGCCCTTTGGAGTAGCAGAGGGTCTGCTGCAACAGAGTTTAGAAAGAAGCGTGTATCAGGGAGGATGGAGTCAAAGTTTTAAAAGGAAAATATTTTCTAGTATCTATTCTTCTTAAATAGGCCTGATCTGCACTTAAGTTAAGGCTTTGCAAGCTGAAGTCATAACTGCGTTATCCCCTAGCTCCAAACTACAGAAACCCCTGACCCGAAGATAAACAACAGAAAGAGAGACAGAATGCTCTGTTTTGTGTCCAGCCAGTCCAACTGCAACCTTCCGCGTCACCGCTAGTTGTCACTTCGCTCCCAGACGGGAGACCCGGGGTTTCCAGCACTGCGGTTTGAGAGAATGCAGTCCCAATTAAACTAAAAAACTCGTAAAGCTTCCCCTTAAGTCCTCAGTCGAGTGAAGGATAATGAGCAGAGGGGCTAGAGGGCCGAGGGGGTGGCAGTTTTGCGGGGAGTGCAGCAGGCAGACAGACCGCAAATAACAGGAAAACCGCTGCCGGAGCAGCCACTGTCTGGGACCTACACGCACCAGCCAGACACCCTGCGGGTGGGGGGTGGGGGAAGGAGAGGAATGGAAGGACCTTCAGCACACAGCACCCCCTCCCCAGTTGATGAGGCCGCGGCAAAGTCAGCCTCTCTACTCTTCCTGAACCCCTTTTGTACCATAAGGATAGTGGTCAGTACAGAAAATCGCGTACCTGAAGAATACAATGGTCTCCCAAAGGTAGAATCGCAGAGTGTTGAAGCTGTACATCTTCCAGATTCTTGTGCTGTAAAGTCCACGAGTTATGGGGCTGCAAAAATGTTTCCTATGGGCACTTAAGAAGCCAGAGAGCGCCACTGGGGGTAATAATCCAGATGTTTAAGGGGGAAGGGAGTAGAGGGACGAGGTGGCAGAGCCGGGGGAGAATTGCAGCCAGGCAGCTAAGGTACCGCGGACAGCGGCGGGCGTGCAGGTTCAGCACCACGGAGAGCGTCCAGCCCGCTGCGGGCGGGAAGAGCGCGGCTGAAGCTCAACTCGCTGGAGGCTCCCTGCGGCGCTGGGAGGCACGTTTGGGGGTGGGTATATTTTCTTCTTTTCTTTCTTTCCTTCTTTCTTTAGTCTTCTTCTTCCTTTTTTTACCCTTGTTTTTCTGTCGAGATAGCCAGCTCCATGAAAGGAAGAAATCCGTGGGGATCAGAGCCCTGGCCTCGGACCCTTAGACCCGGCTGGCATCTTCTTTCTGGCCCTGGGCTGGCCCGAGGGGTTTTAGGGGTTGGGGTGGGGGGGTGGAGCAGGTGACGGTGCTGGCTTCAGTTAGATGTTGGAGAGTGTGCCAGGCTGGCGCATCGCGACCGAGTCCCGGAATCTCGTTTCCCTGCCTCCGTTCCTGTCTGCTGTCGCCTTGCAATCCGTGTTCTCTGGTCCCCGCCGAATAAGTTGGGATCGATGCAGGAAAGGTGTCCCATTGCTTGGGGCTGCTGGAGCAAGGGAGCCCACCACAACTTTCAGGGGCTGCTGGGGTCCATGGCTTCCCAGCAGGGCTCAAGAGCCCAAGCTTTCAGAGGCATCTGGAATTTCTAAGCTTGCCCATCTTCTTCTGGCCAGACTCCCTCAGATCTTCAGACTTTCTTACTGCATTAATTTAACAAACTGGAGACGTAGAGGATGGTGGGGGCGAGGACCGACGGGAGGGGGTGGAGAGGGGAAAATGGGGGGAAAAACTCCTTAGAAGCTTCAAACCCTCCCACTCGGGGTGTTCATTGGCCCGCAGCTGCGAAAACCATATCTTCTCTCTAGGTTCGGCCAATTGCGTGTTAGGCTCTGGGTTGAGTTTAACCCTTAGAGTACTGGCTGAGACCAGCCTCCTGCACTTCCCAGGCCTCAGGGTCTTTGTAGGTCTCTGTCGCTCCAGAGAGGTCTTGGAATTTATCTTTTAAGTCTTTCAAAATCCTTACCTTGATTTTTTTTTAAAAATAGCTGTATGTAAGTAGAACACCATAAACCTCAGCCCAGAGGTGCTTGGGAAGACTCAGTTTATCATTTTTTTCATTAATTTGTTTATTCATTTCACATCTCAATCGCAGCCCCTTCTTCCTCCTCTCCTCCAAGCTCCACTCTCACATCTCCTCCTCAGAGAAGGGAATGCTCCCTCCAGGGTATCAGCTGGCCCTGACATACCAAGTCACAGCAGGACTAAAAGTATCCTCTCCCACTGAGGCCAGACAAGGCAGCCCAGTTAGGGGAAGGCTGACAACCGAGTCAGAGACAGTCCCTGATGCTCCAGTTGTTCAGGGACCCACATGGAGACTAAGCCGCACATCTGCTTATATGTGTAGGGGGCCTAGGTCCAGCCCATGAATGCTCTTCGGTTGGTGGTTCAGTCTTTGTGAGCCTCCATGGGCCTAGGTTAGTTGACTCTTTAGGTTTTCTTGTGGTGTTCTTGACTCCTCTGGCTCCCACAAATTTTCCACAAGACTCCTCAAACAATGCCTAATGTTTAACTGTGGGTCCCTGTATCTGTTTCCATTTTAAAAGGGTTAATGGAACCAGATCCCTCAATTTTATTATAGTGCTGAAGGTATAATATTTGAGCCCTGAAAACTTAAGAAAAAAGGTCTGATGGATAGAGTAAGTCTTCTTCCAGGATCACTGCAGTAACAATTCAGGAAAATTTTTCTTAGTTTCGAGGGTTAAAGGGGAGAGGACCTGCCTGACTCTTTTGAAAGAGATAGAAGATGCACTTTTCCGTCTGAACAGAGGACGTTTGATTCACATCATACAGGCTGGGAAAACTGGGCTCCAAACTAATGGAAGAGCCAAGGAGTGCTTGCATGTATTTTGTTCCTATGGCACCCCTCTCCCCAATTTTTCTTCACCTGCCTTTTTCTCTACCTTATCTGACTTTCAGAAATGAGATATACATTTCACAGTTGAGCCCATCTGGAGAGGTAGAGTTAATCAGATTTTCTCCCAGCTAGGGGACTTTAGTGGATTAATAGCCTCTGCAGGATTTTCTGGCCCGCTGGAACTCACTGGGATTCTGGGGGCTCTCCATTGCAATGCTGCCTAGGAAAGACAGGCCTTCTATTTATCCAGCATATTCAGGAATTCCTTACTTGGGGCAATGGTTTTTTGTTCTCTGCAAGTTCAGGTCTTTTCCCAAGCAAAGTTTTTTTCCCAGCTCAGGATGAGACTAGCAGAACTCTTTTGTGCTTCAGAAGCAGGTGCCAGAAGGGCTGGGATCAAAACCATATACTACCATGCCTAGTCTAATAAGGGTGTACACTCCCATGTGTATAATTTATTTTTGATTTGTCATCTACATTAATTTTGAAGTGAACTTGAAGAGTTTATTTGTATTTATATATTTCTGTTTGCAACTGGTTTCTGTCCACATATATTTATGTATTCATATATGTATATTTGTGTCACATATATGTATCAATATGTGTCAATGTGTGGTGCCCCAGAAACATTAAAACAAGTAATAAGTCAGCAAGTGTATACTTGCTTCATCTGGCTAGGAAATACTTACACAATTGGGTATGAATACAATGTCTAGCATTTTCTGTTACTCATTCCATGATGGAAGCGTGTGTGTGTGTGTGTGTGTGTGATGGTGAGTGTGAGCATTTCTCAGTTTATGGCCTATGCAAGAGAAGAGAGTGACTATGACACAAAAGAGAGGTAGTTGTGTTTTGTTTGCTATGAAGTGACACTCTCATTCAGTCTACACATGAATTGACTATGTCCCAGGCATGGGATAAATGGTGTCTCAATTCCTGGGATATGCAGCTGCTTCAGAGATTAGTGAGAAAAGCCAGGTAACCAAGGGTCTGCATAGCTTATTAAAGTTTTCAAAGAACCAACTCTTTGGTTGGTTTTATGCATTATTATTATTTATACCCAATTTCATTAATTTCTTCCCAAGCATCAACTGCTGGGATGACATGAAAATAAAATTCCTGTGCAGCCAAGAAAGCAATCAGCAGAGTTAACAGACAATCTATGGAATGGTAGAAAATCTTTACCATCTACATTCCAGACAAGAGGCTACTATCCAGAATTTACAAAGAATTGCAGAAAATAAATCCCAAGGAAACAAAACTACCAATCAACAGATAAGTGAATAATTGACTAGGCAGTCTTCAAAAAACAAAATGAAACAAAACAAAGCAAAAACCAAAATCACTCACACATAGTCAATAACTGTTTTAAAGTGTTGTCCCTAGCTATCAGGGAAGAGAAATTAAAACCACTTTGGTATACTCACCCCAGTCAGAATGGCTATCATCAACAATCCTGACAAGAAATGTTGGAAAAGATATGGAGAGAAAAGAACCCTTATTCACTCTTGTTGGGGATGTGAATTAATACAGCTATTATGGAAATTATTTTACAGGTTTCTAAAAAACTAAAAATAAACTATCACATGACTCAGCTATTTTATTCTTGGACATATACCCCGATAATTTTATACCCTGTCATAAAAACATCTGTACCTCGTGTTTATTGATTGTTTACTTACTATAGCAAAGAATTGGAATCAACCTAGCTGCCAATCAACAAATGAATGGATAATGAAAATTATATATATATAAATATATACATATATATTATATATCTATGACATATAATATATATGTATGTATATATATTTAAAATATATATCTTGAAAGTTGTTCATTGGCTTTCATGTGGGAGCTATACTTTGTATTTTACCCACACACATGCATCTCTTCCACACAAAATTAAAGAATAAAATTGTAATACAATTGAAAAAAAGAAGAAAGGTAAGGGGTACAGAGTGACATGGACTTGAATGTACAATACTAAGCAAAGTCACACATGCTCAGAAAAAAAATCTGTTTCTTATCATATGCAGGATTTAGCCAATACTCTATGTGCATATGTAAATAAATATATATGTGGGTACAGTAGAATATGTGAAAGAGAGTAGGAATGGACAATTATAAGGGGATGAAGAATAACCTGATGAATGAAGGTAATAGGCATGAGTTATTAAAGAGAATATAAAGTTAATTGCTTATTTAGTTCTAACTTTGTCATGGATAATTTTGTTTTGTTTTTGGTGGTAGATCAGTACATAAAATATATTTGATGCTGAATGTATAAAATTGAATATAAAGCTTCACAGTTTCCATTTCAGATGCTAATTCTACTACATGTAAGTCCATAAAGTTATTTATTTATTTATTATTTATTATTATTTTTATTTATTTTCATTTTTTAAAAAAATAATTTTAATTATAAAATCATAAAATTATAAAATTTTAATTATAAAATTAAAGACAGTGAAAGACTAGTGAGAAAAGTCCCCAATAGTTGCAACTTTACACTTTAAAACAGATTAATTTTTATTTTCTATTATGTGTATATGTATCTGTGTGTGGGTATGTGCACTTGAGTGCAGGTGCTTATGGATATTAGGAGAGAATATCAGATCCCCCAGATCTGGAGTTGTAGACAGTTGTGAGTCAACCACCTACTGTAGGAGATAGGAACTGAACTCAGGTCCTCTGGAAGAACAGTAAGTGCTCTTAACTGCTGAGCCAGCTCCCCAGCTCCAGCTTCACATGTTTTAGTTGCACATCTCAAATACTTCTCATTTGTCAAGACCTTTCTATTCTCTTGTAGTTCACTCAAGAAGATAAACAACCAAGGGTTTGACCATGGATTTATGTTTTTATTTTAACTATGGATAAATAACTAAACTTCTTTAGGCTTATGCCAAAGGAGAGCTGTACGATCCATGTTCCACACTTCTGGGAATTGCACAGAAGGAATGGTCATTACTCTTATCTTACTGTAGCTTACTCTGCTGTAAAGCCAAAGTCTGCATAGGATGGAGCATGTTGACTTCAGTGAGTGGTCCATTTCTGTTCATAGCTATACTGCAGAACTTACTCTAAGATACAACTATAATACTTAACTTGCCCCTTATAGGCACCAGGAGCCAGATTAGAAACTTACTAAATATGGCTAAATTTTGACACACAGTGATACTTACTTTGTTATGAGAAAGGATTGATTACTATTTGCCAGACAGGAAGTAATTCTAGCCATTGAGGACAGAGCAGGGAAGGAAGCAGAGATCTCTGTTCTAGCACAGTACATCTTCTGGTGGAGAGAAATAGAGGGTGGGCTGAGGAGTCAGGAGGATTAAAAAGAAGAAAGCTGAGCTAGTGAGATGGATCAGCAGCTGGGGGTGCTTGCCAATA